TAATTGTAAATTAAGTACATAATAAGGTTTTAGTATATTTTGGTATTTTTTTTTGTACCAGTTGGTATTTATTGCTAATCCAAAGTTGGCAACACTGATGCTACTTAGTAGATACTGCTATTGTGCTATCACTAAGGATGTTCTGTGTGTGCTATGTTCGGCTGAACGCGGCCATTGATTGATTTCTCAGATTTTTGTGTGATTTAGTTAGTGTATGTGAAAGATTCGATAAAACTAAATATGGTGCAATCGTGTTCTGCGATGAATTACGTAAAGAGACGTTTAAGTGGAGAAAAAATTAAATTTCATAGATAGGAAAGAAGTTATGATGGTACCAACATGTTTATACTTTTCGCATCTTTCTGAAAATAATGACCAAGTACGNTTCGATAAAACTAAATATGGTGCAATCGTGTTCTGCGATGAATTACGTAAAGAGACGTTTAAGTGGAGAAAAAATTAAATTTCATAGATAGGAAAGAAGTTATGATGGTACCAACATGTTTATACTTTTCGCATCTTTCTGAAAATAATGACCAAGTAGAGTTGTCTTCGATGATAACTAATTAGATTATATTATTTCCCCCCCATCCTCAAAATAAAATGTCATTTTAACGTCCAAATTTTGCCGCTTTAAATTTGTTACTATTCAAATTATTTTTTAACATCAAACCGAAAATAACGAAAAAGTTTTAACTGAAATGTGCTTAGCAAAAATTCTCTTCAAATAATATGTTCTGCAAAGCAAGGAAATATGAAATATTTGAAACCACTACGTCAGAAGAGCTTGCAGTAATTTTAACCGATCGAGTTTACGATATGAGGAAATTATTATTTATGTATAAGGCACTATAAAAACGATTTGGAATATTATAGCTGAAACAATTCAAATATTGTACTGTAATTAGGCCAGTAATATAATAAACCCTTTTACATACCTACACTACTGGAAAAAATGAATTTTATTGTCTTTTGGTCTCTATATTATTTCTATAAAGTCTTTGAATACGGCCCAACAGAAAAAAGGGGTAAGGAATCGAGTACAGCTAGCTGATTGGTTGAATTAAATGTAGCGCGCTGCAGTCGAAATTCTGTGAACGAAGCTTAGGCCCATACTCTCCATCTCTCTCGCACACGTCTGAGCGATTGCCAGTTATGTGGGCAAAATGATAGTTGGGCGAGTCCAGTTCCAGTTTCAGTAGTTTATAAGGTCTATAGTTTGTTGTTTATTGTTTTGTTTAGAAGAGAGAGGATTGAAATACCTGATAAATGGAAAAACTGCAATCAGAAAACTTGGAAAAAATGTTTTGCAGGCTGTGTATAAATAGTGTAGACAATGATAGTTGCCAGGTAATAGGAGAAGCCCTAAAGGACGTTCTGGAAATTGTTTTACCAAATTTGGTAAGAACAAATTACTACAGTTACTTTTATATTTATAGTATCAGTCATCTAACAAATGATATGTTACTCATTTAAAAATTACTTAAAGGAATGCTTGTTCAAATGTTAACACTAACTAAACTTAACTAAAAAACTAACTGAACATAACATAGATGGTTGTATAGAACTTCTTTAGAAACATTTAAATGATAATTATTTGAAAAATGAATTCTTGTTGTAGTTACTATGGCAACGCTTAGAGAAACTTTTATTGCTTATGTTGATCAGCCATTGCACTAAAGGTTTTATCTTTATGCTCTGATAGGCATTACGTTCAGTTAGATACAATTGTGTGTGAGGCATACATACTGACGTAACTTTATTTCCAATATAAGTATAAACGTATAAAAAATCAGCTACATACTCGTAGCTATCAGTCTCTACATATGCGACTTCGGCATCCCTTAAATCTTTAATTACGCTTCTGTTTCAGAATTTGGATGAACGAAACAAACATTTCATCTGTGAAGCATGTTCCATACAATTATTTGACGCTTTTGCTTTTAAGTCGACNCAGCTACATACTCGTAGCTATCAGTCTCTACATATGCGACTTCGGCATCCCTTAAATCTTTAATTACGCTTCTGTTTCAGAATTTGGATGAACGAAACAAACATTTCATCTGTGAAGCATGTTCCATACAATTATTTGACGCTTTTAATTTTAAGTCGACTTGTATTGAAACCGAGGATATTATTTTTCCTTATATTGATGCTAGTAAAGTGTCAGTGGTTGATTTAAAAGAAGTTTATCTAAGAGAGAAGGGAAATATTCAGTTAATAGATATATCGGAAAAGAGGATTTGTCGATTATGTTTTCAGTTGGTTACATCCGGATTTGCGTCATTAAATGAAGTTGACATTGACATAATTGGAACGTATATACCACAAGTTGTAAACATATTTCAAAGGACTCCACAGGAAAATATTTGTATGTGTAGAGACAGTTTTTTCTATAAATGAAATTCTATAACACATAGGTACTTACAAAATCACTAAATATCAAACTTTTATTTATTTATCATGTTTCATTAGGCCTGCAGGGTCTGTACTAGTTACATATTTTATGATAAATCATGTACCTGAAGTTCCGAACGTCTGTTTGAATGAAAATGAAAACCCGTAATATCAAGTTTAATCGTATTTAAAATGATTTTACCAACTAAATTGTAACTTCTGTAAACGAAAACAATACTTCCCCATCATCGGAAGCCACCCCCCATATTAACCACCCATAAATCAGTTGTTTATTATTTCCCCGTTATCAAGTTTAAAGCCATAATAGATTTTAAGTAAATTGTTAAAATTATATTTATATTGAGTTATGACAACTATTAATACCCTTTGTTGCCACCGGAATCCACCCCATCAACAACCCTTAAATCAGTTGTTTATTACTTTCCCGTTATCAAGCTTAAAGCCATAATAGATTTTAAGTAAATTGTTAAAATTATAATTATATTGACTTATGACAACTATTAATATTCTTTGTTGTCACCGGAATCCACCCCAACAACAACCCTTAAATTAGTTGTTTATTATTTCCCCATTATCAAGCTTAAAGCCATAATAGATTTTAAATAAATTGTTAAAATTATATTTATATTGACTTATGACAACTATTAATACCCTTTGTTGCCACCGGAATCCACCCCATCAACAACCCTTAAATCAGTTGTTTATTATTTCCCCGTTATCAAGCTTAAAGCCATAATAGATATTAAATAAATTGTTAAAATTATATTTATATTGACTTATGAAAACTATTAATACTATTTGTTGCCATCGGCATCCACCCCATCAAAAACCCTTAAATCAGTTGTTTATTATTTCTCCGTTATCAAGCTTAAAGCCATAATGGATTTTAAGTAAATCGTTAAAATTATATTTATATTGACTTATGACAACTATTAATATCCTTTGTTGCCACGGGAATCCACCCCATCAACAACCCTTGAATTAGTTTTGACCGCTAAAAGGGGAGGTAACCGGAGAAAACTGTCACCCAGTATATTAATTTGACTAAAGCTTTAAGATATAATAGGCCATAATAGTCCAAATAAATGTGCCAAATTTTAACGCGATCGGTAAGAGGGTTATGAAGTTATTAATTAAATTAGTTTTATTTTTGACAACTTTGGAGATCTATAACTCAAAAAACAAACAGTTATTATTTAATTTTTTTCAGTCGAAACGTCGGTAAAATTTGCGGACACCCTGTGTAGAACAAGTTTCAAGCTAGTCTAACTGGCCGCCATTTTAATACAAAAGCAGCTAATTTAAATTCATGTGAATTGTAAACAAGTATGCAAAAAATGAACGGTACAGATCTAAACATTTGTCTTTCTGATCTAATGAGATCCTCTATTTGACATAAATCTACATATGTACTGTTTATTTCCTAAATTTCGATTACGACTCAATAAAAAACCTGGACTGAAACCTACAATAAAAGTAGTCACATATTGACAATTTCGAGGTGTCTTCAAATGTAGGCAAATATTATTACCTACCAATAAATAATGTTTCTTTGTGATGGGAAAATTTCAAAAATTAAAAAAAAAATTAAATTAAAACATTCTGAAAAATTATACAGCATTTTACTTATCTTTTTACAAAATCGTCACAAAAATAAATACATTTTTTAAGAGTATAAGTATTACAATGATTGGTATTTATATTAAAAATACAAGATATTTTTTTTTTGAATGATTAGTTTGTTTTTGATTTTGTTTGATTTGATTTGTGATTAGAGGCCGTCCAAATCATGTGATTTAACGCCGTTGGACTTTTTTCTTTGGGCTTTTTTGAAGTCTAAGGTTTATGTCAACAAGACCACGACTACTCACGCTTTGAAGCTGCATCAATGAAATTCAGATGCATTTATACAAAACGGTCAAGGAAAATTTCGACAAAAGTATAAGTATATGCCAACAAAGCCGTGGAGGCCATTTTGCCTAGATACCTAGTTTTCTGGTATCGAAGAACATTGCTTGACTTCACTTGATAAGACCTTTAGAAAACATGTTTGAATTTGTTTCAATTAGCTTAATATTCTAAAAAAAAACTGAATTTTATTCACAAAACATTGAAACATTTAATTTATATTGATTATTTCTATTTTTTTAAATTTTTTTAATAAAGCCTGGAGATATGAANTAGATTTTAAGAGGGCAATGTCGATGACGTCGGGGCGTCCTACGGGTCCGTAATGTGTCGGTTCTGTCGGTCCGAGTATCGTCAAGTCGTCGTGTCTGTCTTGGTAATTGAGCAGGACGCGACCTCTTGTGGTCGTCGTCCCCCCCTGTGCCATATGGGGGGTAATTTTAACCGATCGAGTTTACGATATGAGGAAATTATTATTTATATATAAGGCACTATAAACACTTTTTGGAATATTATAGCTAAATAAACAATTCAAATATTGTACTGTAATTAGGCCAGTAATATAATAAACCCTTTTACATACCTACACTACTGGAAAAAATGAAATTTATTGTCTTTTGGTCTCTATATTATTTCTATAAAGTCTTTGAATACGGCCCAACAGAAAAAAGGGGTAAGGAATCGAGTACACCTAGCTGATTGGTTGAATTAAATGTACGCGCTGCAGTCGAAAATCTGTGAACGAGGCTTAAGCCCTTACTAAGTCTATCTCTCTCGCACACGTCTGAGCGATTGCCATTTATGTGGGCAAAATGACAGTTGGCCGAGTCCAGTTTCAGGAGTTTATAAGGTCTATAGTTTGTTGTTTATTGTTTTGTTTAGAAGAGAGAGGATTGAAATACCTGATAAATGGAAAAATTGCAAACAGAAAACTTGGAAAAAATGTTTTGCAGGCTGTGTATAAATAGTGTAGACAATGATAGTTGCCAGGTAATAGGAGAAGCCCTAAAGGACGTTCTGGAAATTGTTTTACCAAAATTGGTAAGAACAAGTTACTAAAGTTACTTTTATATTTATAGTATCATTCATCTAACAAATGATATATGTTGCTCATTTAAAAATTACTTAAAGGAATGCTTGTTCAAATGTTAACACTAACTAAACTTAACTCAAAAACTAACTGAACGTAACATAGATTGTAGATACTATGGCAAAGCTTAGAGAATCTTTTATTGCTTATGTTGATCAGCCATTGCACTAAAGGTTTTATCTTTATGCTCTGATAGGCATTACGTTCAGTTAGATATAAATGTGTGTGAGGCGTACATACTGACGTAACATTATTTCCAACATAAGTATAAACATATCAAAAATCAGCTACATACTTGTAGCTATCAGTCTCTACATATGCGACTTCGGCATCCCTTAAATCTTTAATTACGCTTCTGTTTCAGAATTTGGACGAACGAAACAAACATTTCATCTGTGAAGCATGTTCCATAAAATTATTTGACGCTTTTAATTTTAAGTCGTCTTGTATTGAAACCGAGGATATTATTTTTCCTTATATTGATGTTAGTAAAGTGTCCGTGGTTGATTTAAAAGAAGTTTATCTAAGAGAGAAGGGAAATATTCAGTTAATAGATATATCGGAAAACCAGAGGATTTGTCGATTATGTTTTCAGTTGGTGACATCCGGATTTGTGTCATTAAATGAAGTTGACATTGGCATAGTTGGAACATATATACCACAAGTTGTAAGTATATTTCAAAGGACTCCTCGAGAAAATATTTGTATGTGTAGAGATAGTTTTTTCTATAAATGAAATTCTATAACACATAGGTACTTACAAAATCACTAAATATCAAACTTTTATTTATTTATCATGTTTCATTAGGCTGCAGGGTCTGTACTAGTTACATATTTTATGATAAATCATGTACCTGAAGTTCCGAACGTCCGTTTGAACGAAAATGAAAACCCGTGGAGTGTGGAGTGATAAGAATCTTAAAGAGACATGACAATAATGACATTCCCTGATAGCCACAGCAATGAACATTTTGTTTTCATAGCCTATTGATCTCAAATATTTCATTCCGCGACACTGCTACCCAAACCGAAACGTACAGACCTGCAAATAATGACATTTTTCTCAAGAATGGCTTTCTGTAGACGATTTTCTCAACAGAAAATATTTTATTTAAATAAAACGAAATTTTCATTGTTCAGGGTTATTAAAAATAGAGCATGAAAGAACAACTTGTTTTCATTTTGAGCATTATTTTTAAAATAATAAAGGTTTAGTAGTTCCAGTTCCCAATTTTCGTACAAAATATTGTCGGAAAAATGATTCAACCTCATCAACTGTATTGAGATTAATTGAAAAATTCAGAGAGACTGAATTGATTAGCGATTTTAAACACTCTTCGTCCTTCAATAAGCCGTTCAGCACAAAACATTAAAGGAGTTGGTGAGAGTATTGCTGAGAGTCCAGGATCATCCATTCGCCACCGTGGTCAAGAATTGGACATTTTGAGAAGCTCTGCGGCGTATTCTCGTGAAAGATTTGCATCTTCATGCTTACAAAGTTCAACTGACTCAAGAACTGAAGCCACGCAGAGCGAAGAGAGTTCGTTAAATTGGTTATGGAACAATTGGATGCTGATTTTTCGAACAAAATCATCTTCAAAGATGAGGCACATCTTCTTTCGTTAATCGACAAAATTGTTGCATTTGGGATTCAGAAAATCCACGAGTAATTGTTGAGAAACAAATGCATCCACATGTCACTGTTTGGATTTTGGCTGGAGGCATCATTGGGCTATTCTTTGATAATACGGCTGGTCAGGCAATAACAGTTAATGGTGCTCGCTATCGCCACATGATATAATAATTAATAATAATTTTCTGTTTTGGTAATTAGAATTGGCCGTCCAAATCATATGATTTAACGCCGTTGGACTTTTTTCTTTGGGATTTTTTAAAGTCTAAGGTTTATTTCAACAAGACCACGACTACCCACGCTTTGAAGCTACATCAATGAAATTCAGCTGCATTTATACAAAACGGTGAAGGAAAATTTTGACAAAAGAATAAGCATATGCCAACAAAGCCATGGAGGCCATTTTGCCTAGATACCTAGATTTCTGGTATTGAAGAACATTGCTTGACTTCACTTGATAAGACCTTTAGAAAACATGTTTGAATTTGTTTCAATTAGCTTAATATCCTAAGAAAAAACTGAATTTTATTCACAAAACATTGAAACATTTAATTTATATTGATTATTTCTATTTTTTTAAATTTTTTTAATTTGTATGGCATGCTGTTAGATTTCCCTTCGCATATTTCAAGCAAGAGGTTTACTTGTCAATACCTGGTGCAATTATTTTACATGCGTATATGAGGGCTAATCCCGTTGCTCCACCCTTAACCCATTTACAAGCCAACAAAATTATTCATAATAGAAGCCGATATATATATAGACCAACACTATTAAATTGCAGTGTGATGAGATACATATCAGTACGAAAGTGAAGAGCATCTAGCTACCACAAAATTAGACCGTCTGCTGTGACACAAATGAAGGGCATTTTGTACCTTCATTATTTAATTCGGTCGATTTGTAAGGAAAGTTAAATATCGGACTCCATTCACCAATCGTAAGCTGGAACTGTTCATGTCTGTCAGAATCATAGAATTGTGTAAATGTGTTGCTAGACAAATAATTGTAATGTGCAAACTTTTTTGTTTGGTTTTTGTTCTTTTTTTTTTGGATTGGTTTTTTCAGTTAAAAAGGTAACAGAGATTCACTGAAATTTTGTTGTTGTAGAACATCAACGCTACCAGGGATCCTGTTATATGCGGACCATGTTTTAATTCGCTTCGTACTCATGGTGGCTTTGCAAAGAACTGCCTTGATGCACAGGAACAATACAAAAGTTCAGATAAACAGTTTTATGTTAAAACCGAAGAAATTAAAGTAAAACTGGAAGAAGACAGTCAGGATGTGCCGGAGAAATTTAAAAACATTGACGAGCAGTCTGATATTAGATCTGAAAAGATTGAAATAAAACTAGAGGGAGAGGTTTGTGATGGGTAAGTANCAGCCATTGCACTAAAGGTTTTATCTTTATGCTCTGATAGGCATTACGTTCAGTTAGATATAAATGTGTGTGAGGCGTACATACTGACGTAACATTATTTCCAACATAAGTATAAACATATCAAAAATCAGCTACATACTTGTAGCTATCAGTCTCTACATATGCGACTTCGGCATCCCTTAAATCTTTAATTACGCTTCTGTTTCAGAATTTGGACGAACGAAACAAACATTTCATCTGTGAAGCATGTTCCATAAAATTATTTGACGCTTTTAATTTTAAGTCGTCTTGTATTGAAACCGAGGATATTATTTTTCCTTATATTGATGTTAGTAAAGTGTCCGTGGTTGATTTAAAAGAAGTTTATCTAAGAGAGAAGGGAAATATTCAGTTAATAGATATATCGGAAAACCAGAGGATTTGTCGATTATGTTTTCAGTTGGTGACATCCGGATTTGTGTCATTAAATGAAGTTGACATTGGCATAGTTGGAACATATATACCACAAGTTGTAAGTATATTTCAAAGGACTCCTCGAGAAAATATTTGTATGTGTAGAGATAGTTTTTTCTATAAATGAAATTCTATAACACATACACTTACAAAATCACTAAATATCAAACTTTTATTTATTTATTATGTTTCATTAGGCTGCAGGGTCTGTACTAGTTACATATTTTATGATAAATCATGTACCTGAAGTTCCGAACGTCTGTTTGAACGAAAATGAAAACCCGTGGAGTGTGGAGTGATAAGAATCTTAAAGAGACATGACAATAATGACATTCCCTGATAGCCACAGCAATGAACATTTTGTTTTCATAGCCTATTGATCTCAAATATTTCATTCCGCGACACTGCTACCCAAACCGAAACGTACAGACCTGCAAATAATGACATTTTTCTCAAGAATGGCTTTCTGTAGACGATTTTCTCAACAGAAAATATTTTATTTAAATAAAACGAAATTTTCATTGTTCAGGGTTATTAAAAATAGAGCATGAAAGAACAACTTGTTTTCATTTTGAGCATTATTTTTAAAATAATAAAGGTTTAGTAGTTCCAGTTCCCAATTTTCGTACAAAATATTGTCGGAAAAATGATTCAACGTCATCAACTGTATTGAGATTAATTGAAAAATTTAGAGAGACTGAATTGATTAGCGATTTTAAACACTCTTCGTCCTTCAATAAGCCGTTCAGCACAAAACATTAAAGGAGTTGGTGAGAGTATTGCTGAGAGTCCAGGATCATCTATTCGCCACCGTGGTCAAGAATTGGACATTTTGAGAAGCTCTACGGCGTATTCTCATGAAAGATTTGCATCTTCATGCTTACAAAGTTCAACTGACTCAAGAACTGAAGCCACGCAGAGCGAAGAGAGTTCGTTAAATTGGTTATGGAACAATTGGATGCTGATTTTTCGAACAAAATCATCTTCAAAGATGAGGCACATCTTCTTTCGTTAATCGACAAAATTGTTGCATTTGGGATTCAGAAAATCCACGAGTAATTGTTGAGAAACAAATGCATCCACATGTCACTGTTTGGATTTTGGCTGGAGGCATCATTGGGCTATTCTTTGATAATACGGCTGGTCAGGCAATAACAGTTAATGGTGCTCGCTATCGCCACATGATATAATAATTAATAATAATTTTCTGTTTTGGTAATTAGAATTGGCCGTCCAAATCATATGATTTAACGCCGTTGGACTTTTTTCTTTGGGATTTTTTAAAGTCTAAGGTTTATTTCAACAAGACCACGACTACCCACGCTTTGAAGCTACATCAATGAAATTCAGCTGCATTTATACAAAACGGTGAAGGAAAATTTTGACAAAAGAATAAGCATATGCCAACAAAGCCATGGAGGCCATTTTGCCTAGATACCTAGATTTCTGGTATTGAAGAACATTGCTTGACTTCACTTGATAAGACCTTTAGAAAACATGTTTGAATTTGTTTCAATTAGCTTAATATCCTAAGAAAAAACTGAATTTTATTCACAAAACATTGAAACATTTAATTTATATTGATTATTTCTATTTTTTTAAATTTTTTTAATTTGTATGGCATGCTGTTAGATTTCCCTTCGCATATTTCAAGCAAGAGGTTTACTTGTCAATACCTGGTGCAATTATTTTACATGCGTATATGAGGGCTAATCCCGTTGCTCCACCCTTAACCCATTTACAAGCCAACAAAATTATTCATAATAGAAGCCGATATATATATATAGACCAACACTATTAAATTGCAGTGTGATGAGATACATATCAGTACGAAAGTGAAGAGCATCTAGCTACCACAAAATTAGACCGTCTGCTGTGACACAAATGAAGGGCATTTTGTACCTTCATTATTTAATTCGGTCGATTTGTAACGAAAGTTAAATATCGGACTCCATTCACCAATCGTAAGCTGGAACTGTTCATGTCTGTCAGAATCATAGAATTGTGTAAATGTGTTGCTAGACAAATAATTGTAATGTGCAAACTTTTTTGTTTGGTTTTTGTTCTTTTTTTTTTGGATTGGTTTTTTCAGTTAAAAAGGTAACAGAGATTCACTGAAATTTTGTTGTTGTAGAACATCAACGCTACCAGGGATCCTGTTATATGCGGACCATGTTTTAATTCGCTTCGTACTCATGGTGGCTTTGCAAAGAACTGCCTTGATGCACAGGAACAATACAAAAGTTCAGATAAACAGTTTTATGTTAAAACCGAAGAAATTAAAGTAAAACCGGAAGAAGACAGTCAGGATGTGCCGGAGAAATTTAAAAACATTGACGAGCAGTATGATATTATATCTGAAAAGATTGAAATAAAACTAGAGGGAGAGGTTTGTGATGGGTAAGTAAATATCTATAAATTATTTTACCACACATACAAAAAAATATAATTCTTTCAAATATGATAAACTATGAAACCTAACAAGTAATATAACAGAAAACTCAAACAGTAATAAATAAATAATAATAATAAATGAAATACTCAAAAATAAATAAATAATCTGTTTACTCACCTGATTTTTACGGCATATGATATACTTGAAACCTTGTGGCTAATCTTCGATTATCGGTAATAGGATTCTCTTCCACGACGTTTAAAATTTCTGATTCTAAGTTTCTGACTCTCTTAGCTTATTCCACTCCAACATTATCGTATTGGCGTATAAAGCTCCTATAATCCCTTAAATGTTGAACCAATTATACAAACATCTTATTTGGTACCTATAGGTTGGGATAATTCATCTCGTATCGTATTCTTGCAATAGCATGTTTTGTCCCGACAAAAAGTAGACTGTAACCATATCAACTTTTTCTTGACTTGTATCCATGCTTTTTCATCTTACACAAAAGCTTAAACGAAAGCAGAAAAATACACTACCATCACAAAACACTTAAATAATTAACTTACTAGGTTACACTTACCTTACATAAAGACATTTCACCCGTTTCACTGAATTACCATGGCAATTTGTTTTTTACCCATTTACCATTCCGTCATATCATACCAAGTGTGAAGTCAACCGGCAGTATCGGCTTTTCAGAGGTGGCAATACAGTGGAGACTAACCTCCGATGCTCTTTGTAAGCATTCGAAACAGGATCAGATTTAGCTTAAATTTAAACTGTTCATTATTTAATGTTGCTGTTTTGTTTATTTTGGATGTACATAAGTATTACCTGTTTTAACTTTCCTAAATGCGTCTATGCAGTTTATGTAGTGACAGTAGTATAATTCAGGTCAATGTCAGAGGTCATTAACACTGAGATTCGCAAATTAAATACATTACTGCTTAAGAAAATAGTAACGCGTAATTGTAAAAATTTAAAACAATTTTGAAAAAATATTCGATATCAATCAAATTAGTATTTTTATTTATTTCTTATTACGTACGTCTTTTAAAACGGCAAAAGTGATTATTTTAAAACACAGATTGGTTTTATTTAAAATTACTGACTTATTATTATTATTATTATTATTATTATTATTATTATTATTATTATATTTGTGACTTGTTTCAAGGCCTTAAACTATGCTTTCACCTAACTGTTCACGATTATTATT